AAGAGTGGAATACGAAAAATCATACATATGTGGAACCAAAAATAGTCTTGCTTGCTGAAATTACTGGACTGATTTTGTAACCAGCATGGTATGAGCAAATCTTGCTCTTAAAAATCTGCTAGAATTAGAAGCATGGACTCTCCCATGTGTTAAGCTGTTTTGCATGATAAATTTAGAAGCCTGAAATTAGCCAGAGATAGTCAGCAGAAAATCCAATAGAGGGATTCTCTTACTAAAAAGCTTGTAGAGACAACCTTGTCATTTGCAAAATACCCACCTGTTTACCCACATGAAAAGGGGGGTAAAGGCAGGGCTCAGCAAAGGTTTTCCATACTCAATCTTTCACTGACATGATGGCCTGAAAGAACTAGTCCTCACTCTAGTGAAATAGTTTAGGGATGCCTTTAGTCATTATTGTCATATTTACAACTTCCACTTACACGGAATACTGATCTTCTGATGCTCAAGCTTCACATTTCAGGTTTTGCCATGAGGAGCATAGGATTTTTCTTACCTAAACTAAAGTTATAATAGCATAGGACACAGAATAACACAAGCAAGAAAGAGCTAAATTTTACAATAATACAAATTCCTTCAGTTCTCAAGGCACATACCCAAATGGATATCACCACTCAAATTTGGCAAGAGAAATTCCAAAGACAGATTTTACCCTCCTATCTTCAAACGTCTTCCCTGGAAATTTGCATTTAATCAACAAATGGACACATGCAAATTTCTAAATTGTTTACTATCAAACTAAACATGGAGCCTCTTTCTTTCTCAACTTGTTAAAATTAAACATCACTTCTTAAATAGGATAACATAGCAACAAGTCCAGTACTCTAAGCCAATCCTTCAGTTTAGCTTTTGTGTAGATCAACCAAAACAATACATTTTATCTAATTTTCTAGCTTCAGAGGCATATCTGTTTTCCAGATAATTTTTTTGTAGGAAATGAATGGCAGCCAGGATAAATAACAACATGAAAGTGCCCCATTATGCCATGTTGCTCATGAACAACAGACCTATGAACAACACATAATCAACAGCTTAATACTGTTACCTTTTAAGATTTCAATTAGTTGTTTATATTTAATAAAGGTTTAGAAATCCTTACCTCACACCATTCTGTCCTTGCATCAAGGTTGTTGTTAATCTTCCTGAAAAAGGCCTTAACATTATGATCCTTGACTTCTGGACCGAAAAGTGTCTGTGTGGTTGTATAGAACTTAGCATAGTCTATCACATCTGTATGGGAGGAACAATACCCACAGAGTTAAAAACTGGCACGGTACAGCTTCCTTCCTTAATACCCCCTTCCTCCTGTTTTATTTCTCCTTCAATATCAATAGCATGCAAGTTCCAGCTCCTCAAACTGTATTCACTAAAGCATTTTGCAACAACAACAACAAAAGTTCATTCTTCATGTTCAGTCTTTTCAAAACCACCTGATTTGCAGTACATGACAGGAAACAAGTAGATAAAAGAATAGGTGAAAAATTCTCACCTCTTCTTTCTTTCCTTACTCTGCCACAATTCTACTTTATTGATCTGAACCTGAATGGTGTCCTGGGTTAAAGTTTATCCTTTCATGCAACAATATCCACTTGTATTGAGAAAAGCAAAGCTTTGCTCTGGTTATTTACAATTAAGGAACTGGATTTACATAATTCATTGGGTTCATGCTTTTACAGATGACTAGAAACATCGCATCGTGCTAACTTGAATATGTGGCAACTCTGCCAATTACATTTTGTGAGCAATCACCATAGCATTATTATTTGACCAGAAGTCCTAACAGGAGGATAAAAGCACTATCATAGCACAATCTGCCTATTTCCTGTAAAAATCAAGAAGCCAGAGTTTGAACATTAATTTGAAGTCTTTCTTATAGTCTTGTCTCTATGACACCTCCTCTCCATATGAAAATTACACTTTTCCATCAGAAAGAGTATCTCTTACCATCATCTTCAATATACAAGCCTAATCTCTCCTTTGTCTTCTGGGTTACCGTTTTTTCAACTAGTTTCTGGAACTGCTTCAAAGCATTCTTGAAATCTGGCACTTCGAGAGCAGAGCAACTCTCTTTATCACAATCCTTCTTTTCAGACATCCTTTATTAACAGAGGACAAGGTAAGAGGGAGAGCTTTTCTTACAGCCTGGTCCAAGCCTTGTTTTGCCCCTTAAATCTTAAACTCCCACATGAGTTCATATGAAATGCAGCTTCATGACAGGTATACCAAGCACTACTTAATAAAAAAGAGGTGACTCTGGCTTGGCATCTCAAGCTGGCAAACATACTAGTGAACTGTTGATGTCACAACACCCCATTACATCACAGAATCCTACTCACTGGGTGGCCCTAGGTCACAGACCAGGATCACTAATAATCTGGTATGTGAGATTATTTCATGGTATCTCATGCAATTGGTGATTGAACAGGCATGAACTTTCTCACTTCCAGAGCCAGACAAGGATTTCATCAGGGTGCAATTCTGCTATAGCTGACACCGGTTTAGCAATATGAGATCACTTTCTCCAGTAAGAATACACCTTTGAGACTAGCTGTTGCAAGTTTATCACATCTTTCAGACTTTTGTACTGAGTGAGGAGGAAGAAAGATTATACCAGTTATCTCTAAGTTTCATATTATCTTCTTACTCTTTGGATTATTTTCAAGTTTTCTGCCAAAGGCTGCACACCAACTAACAGTTAGGAACAGCTGCAATTGTGGATTCCCTTGGATCCATACATCATCTGGTGAAGAATGACAGAGCCAGTTCTCCATTTATATTTGCTCTGTGACAGGAGAACTGAGACCAGCCTGATGATATCCTAGCATGTGCTACTGCTGCAAGGCTCGGCCAGGGATCTCAATCGAGGTAGGGATGCCTTGTTTTACAGTAGCAATAAGAGCATTTTACCAGGGATGTTAAGTTATGAATCATTATTCACATAGTACAAAGAGGCCAAAGACATCCAATCCAATCCGAAAAGAACTAGAAAAGCACTTTTTGACAGTTAGTTCTTGGGAGTAACATTGAATGTTTACTTCCTTAGTAAATTTATCTCCATTTCTTGAATATAAGCCTTGTTGTCCTCTTTATTGTATTCAAAATCCCTACTCGGTGAAACAGAATTTCCAACCTAGAAACCCAATTACCCTGCAGAAACAATTTTTTAATTGCATATATGACTATGATTGAGATGATTGCAAGAAAGAGTTTTAGTTATTTTCAGCTGTTCAATTGCCTCTCCCTTAATCTCTTACAGCCATTCAAACTCCCTTTACTTGTCTTACTTCCAGTCAAGTTACTGTTTCTTTCTCCTAACACACAACTAATGAGCCCAGAGATTAAGTGTTGGCTCTTAACATATGCTTGGCCAAAGCTCAGCTATATGTCTTAAACGGCTACTGTTTTGAAAAAGGTCTGCATTTAACTTGCACCTAAGTTCGGTCAGGATCTTAAAGTCAGAATAATCCTATACCAAGGTACCCCAAGGACCTTCCTGGTTTTTGTTCTCAAGGCATACTTAAACAGAAGCTGGATGGGGTTATTCAGAAAGCAAAGTTGCAGCTATCACTTTCTTTTGAGAGTGGCATCCCAGAGCACTCACTGACTAATCAAAATTGTTTGATATGCTACCCAGTGCCTTGAGATCTGAGAGAATTTTTGCCCGGCAAGAGCACCAGTCCTTGTATTATATCTGTGTTGTCCTTCTAACCAGCCACATGTCAAATTCTTTACTGAATAGTGAAACCCTAGGGTATCTTACTGGAGTGGTGGAAAAGTGAATTTATTTTTCCTCTAGCTGAAAGAGAATTAAGTCCAAAACTATCCCTTGAATGAATAATGCAGTGACTACTGAAGAAAGGGCTAATACCAGTTCTTATGGGAATATTCTAAACAATCAAGCTTCATTCATTCTTTGGAAAGGAATGATGTAAAAAAATGTCTCCAAAGAATGGTTCATTGCAGTGAATTTTAAGAAGGAAACATTTACCTGAAAAACAAGGTGCTTGAAAAAGAAGTTTTATGATTTGCACCTGTGACCATTAGTATTATTCTATTGACTAAACTGTCATAGTTTAACAAAAAAAGGCTATAAGTATCAGTAATTAATATGTTAATTACTTTGGATCATGTAATGATCACAGATTCTCCCCATATGGAAGCTATTTATTTTGCTCGGGGTTCTGGATTCTGTGCTATACCTCAGATGATCAACTTTCAGTTCCTACAACCTTTTGCTGAATCTGACCCCTTATGCTTGATAACATTTTGCAAATTTTAAAGGCTTACCATTTTTTGACACTGCCATGTGAGGCAGTGTGTTCTACTGTGAAGTCAGAAGAACTGTGTTCCTGTCATGGCTTTGCCATTTCTTCTTTCTTGGCAACCCTATCAGGTTGCTAAAATCTACCTGTAAAACAGGAACAACAACCTAACTCTGAATTAGTTCCTTTAAAGTATTACTAATCCTTATAAGTTAATGTCCACATTTTATGTATGCGATATCTGCGGTTCCTTTTGTATCACTACACTATGCTGACATTAAATTCTGGCACCTTTCTGTTTATCAAACTACTCCCATGTCCGCTGCACATTTACATGAATATTATTAGCATAATAAATATTAACTGAACTGTAATTGAAGGTGAACAAAACTGTTCATGGCATCAGCTATGCTTAAGCAAACATGCATTTACATTTGTTCACTGATCTTCCAGTTAGTGAGGTCATTAATTGACATTCATTAGCACAATCACATATTTCTGTGATCAACAAAATTCTAGAGTGCTTCAGAGAAGCACATCAGTGATGATGAATAGAGGCTGGTATCTTCTGCCATTCAAAAAAAAAAATGGAGCTCATGAGGAAATCACGAGAAAAGTTGTTGTCTCTCTTTTTGTTCCCCTCACTAAGGTAACTTATGTGATCCTAGATTATTTTTGGTTTTATACCAGTGCAGATGTTACTGCTTTATTAAGCAGATGATTAAGTTTCAAGAAAATTTGACTAGAACAAGTAGGCCAAAATATCCATTTTGACCCTAACTAATGTCCTTCCTCCTAAATTTAACAGAGGCATCATGAATTCATAAAGTTTAAATCCAGAAGAGACCTTGAGATCTTCTACTTTCACCTCCTCTATGTTACAGATCATTAAATATCAGCCATTTATCACTATAATGAGCCCAACAACTTTGTTCTAAAGCATAACTTGCAGAAAGGTATCAAGTTTTAATCTGCAGACACTACGAGATGGAGAATCCATCATGTTTGTTCCAAAGGTTAATTGCTCACATTGTTAAAATTTAAACCTCCTATTTGAATTTGTGTGGCTTCAGCTTCCATTCAGCAATGGAATGTCTTCACTGATTTAGAGTAATAGTTGGTATATTCTCCTACTAGGGGCCTTTGTACCTGAATTACTTCTCCATTTTTTTCTCTTGTTAATTAAAGCAGATTGAACTCTCTGCCTGCTACTGCAACATTTTCCTTCAAGCCTCAAAATGATGTTTGTGATTCTTTTCCACATTTTCCAGCTTTTCAGTATCTATAAAGGATGCTGATGCCATGTTGCTGTGCTATACCATAATAAAGAGATTAGTACTCTGGTCAAATAATGAATTTCAGTCTATTTGTTAAACTCACTTTTCACTAGACCATATTGATCGATTTCTTTGTATTGTTCTTTAGCTATTGATCTCCAGATCAGCTTTTCTATTACTTCACCCAAGGCTTATGACAGGCTCATTGGTCAAGGTTTTCTTGTATTTCTGTACATGAAATCTCTGCTCCATTGAGATTCTGTAGTTGAAAGGAAAGGAGAAATTATATTTTGTATTTTTTTGTGGCTATCTAAAGGATTGACATCAATCAGGCATGTTTCAAGAATATCAAAATCACTTCTTCAAAAAACAGATAGACCGCAGTCTTCACACACACTTGGGAAAATCAGCTGAACAACAGTTTTGAAACATAAAGGGAAGAAAACAATTTGATATTAAACAAATTTACTAAAAGTAATGCATGTAAGTGTCTCTGCATGGAATAGCTAACTCTTCAGGGAAAGTGGTGTTTCAAGATATGCTACCTAACTTTCTAACATGAGCAACGCAACTGCTTGAAGTTCTATCATTTCCACTGGGAAGAGCACAAAAGTTTCTGGGTACTCCTGCTCAACAGCAATGAGCATGTCTTTCAATTAGAATAAGGAATAGAGTTTGGCAGAGAAAAGCAGCACTGATTCCTGGAAAAGCGAGCGATAGCTCGAGGATGCATTTTTGCTGGTTCCAACAGCAATTCTCCAGGAAAATGTTCCCCTTATGTGTCAAGGTACTCAGTGGCGGCTCAGATACTGTATCTTGGTCAGAGTTACAGTGTATTTGATGTATGGCTTCCAGCTGAATCCTTGTTAAGCAGTGTTTCTGGTTAATTAATTTTGCCAGTCAGTGTCCTCTAAGCTTGTTTGGCATGAGGCTATATTCTCATTTCTCAATTAATAACAGTGGTTTAAGGTTTATTAAAGATATTAACATCCATCCTTGGAATGGAAAGGTTAAGAATAGAAAGCTATGTTTTGTTCTCTTGCAATCACCCATGAAGAAACTTCATGTTATAATGAAAATACATGGAAACAACAAATAAGGAACCATTGCTTTCAGTACTGGCTGATTCTGTTGTCTTTGATGTTCAAACTAAAAAAAATGTACAGTAAAATTTTAAAAGAATATGTGATGATTGAGTGGACTGACAAACAAAAGTGGAGAAGATAGGAACTACATTAGAAGATAAGCAAAGTCTAAAAGGGAAATTCAATATTAAATTGATGAGTAACAGGAAGTCCTTGCATTAGTAAGTCTACACTAGCATTAACTGAATGAAAAGCATTTTCTTTCCTGTCTCCCTGACTGATACTGTGGAAAACATTGGATATGGAATATGGCAGAGTTAATGTTTATTCAGAAGGCAAACCTCTCAACAAACCTCTTCTTACTACATAATCACATTGGTCTCAATTATTGGAAATTCTCAGACCAGTACAATGTTAACGATACTCTGTACAGGTACAAATAACAGCTACAGCAAGGTCATTGCAGGATTG